CTATATAATAACAACTTTCAATATTCATGGAGCCCTTTTATCAATGTTGTACATTTTTGTTAATATATAGTAAAACTCGAGGACAAGTTCATATCCATAGTAGAAAATAGACTGCTTTGAATCATTTCTTTATAGAATCTATTCATTTTGTTTTTCATATACTAGATGAAACTGACCATGGATTGGAACTATTATCAAATAAAAATCTTCAAATAGGTGATCGAGTAGTTATTCGTGGAACAAAATATGGTATTCTAAAATATATTGGTAAAATTCATGTCAATGAAGGTATATGGTGTGGCATTAAACTAGATGGTCCCTTGGGTAAACATGATGGTAAAATTGAAGGGATACGATATTTTCAATGTCAACATCGTTATGGAATTTTTGCTCCTTTACAAAGTGTTGAAAAAGTCATTACTGATACCGATGATATAAGAAGAATTTCTCGGCAGTCAATCATTTCAACAGGTTCATGTGATCAATATCATGATACAAATAGTCAAGATTCGAACATTTCTGAATTTTCAACATCACCAAATAGTTTGCATTATTTTCCACCACGATCACCAAGAAAATTTCCTCAACCAAATTTTTCTACCGATGTAACATCAATGGAAACATTATCATCAACACAAATAACAGATTTACATGAAAAAATAAAAGAAAAAAATCTATCTATTGAAAAATTAAGCAAAGAAAATGAAAGAGATCGTTTAGAATTGTCGAATTCTAAAGAACAAATGAATCAAATGAAAAAACAGCTAATAACCTTACAACAACAATACGAAATAAAAGAAAAACAAAACGAACAATTAATAAAAGAACAAGTTGAATTAAGACAACGTTTAGAAGATTTACAATTTCAACTTGAAGAATATCAATATTCTGAAACAGATACAGACCTTTTAAAAATACCTATTGATGATCATAATCAATTATTATCTCGAAATGAAATTGCAAATTATGAACAAACAAAAGAAAAACTTGTTCAACTTGAATCTATTAATAAAAATTTAATACATGAAAAACAAATATTACAAGAAGAATTAAAACAATCTAATGAAATAAAAGAAAAAGAAAAACAAACAAATAACTTTATTAATGAATTAGAAAAACAAATTGAATTACTTAAATTCCAAATATCTGATCTACAAAATAAAGGTAATAATTATTTTTTAAATAGAACTCTTGTTCTATATATCTTAATTTTTAGATCAAAATAAAACTATTCAATTGAATGAAAAAGATACGTTTTACAAACAGCAAATCATCGAATATCAATCAAAAATTGATCAAATCACTAAACAAGATCAAAATGTATTTATTTCTTGTTTTTAAGAAAGAATATTTTTCAACGCATTTAAAACAGATAAATTCAATAAGTCTAGAAGAACACCTAAGAATGGTAGCTAGAGTGTATATATAAAATCCAAAAGTCAAAAATATACCATTCTAGAACTTCAATTTGTCGATAAAATTTTCTAGAAACTTAATTGAATGATAGGTCGAACAGTACTTAACTGATTAAAATCGAATTTGGCTATCTGTAAAATACAAGCTAAAAGGAGTGTTGCAGTATAGAAGTAACAGACAGTGATAGACGTTGTTGATATATGATAAAAGAACGTATGACAATAAGACCTCGCTATAACATATAAACTACTTCCTCATTGCATTGATGGACGTTTAAACCAAACGTATAGGGAAGAAATGTGTCCTGAAATATGTAGAATAAAGTAATGTCTATATGATTAACAGTAACAGCTATTATCTTAGAATAGAAAACCATCCACTAGAAACATTTCACAAGGTGTCATAGAATGCTGTGGTTTGTTTTATTCTGAGAGTCAGTTAAAATCCATAATTCTTGTCTAATCTTCCATGTTTAATTGTATTTCATCAAGTTCGGTAGCAATATGAGGAGTAGCAATCAAAACTAACTAACAAAAGAACCTTCTTAGATGATCTTCTTTTCGATTTCAATCACTTTTTGCCTATAGATACTATCTCTAATAAAAACCCCAAATATGTTTCAGTTCCTATTAAAACTTGATGAAATTATTGAACTTTTAATATTTCTATTTACTAAAGATCCCACTTTTTTCGAAAAAAATAAGTTTTTGAAATTTTGTCTTCAAGCTACCTACATGTGGAAGTCTCATAGTATGTATATTAAGCTGCAGCGTATGAAAGCTTCGTATCTTCAACAAACAAACGTTTCCAAATGTTCGTCTATTACTCATCATATTTCAAAAAGTTCACAGCTGAAAGATAGAAAGTCTTCAATTCAAATGGAGTTAATTGAACAATAAAATTTTAAAATATAATTTTTCCCGAAATTTTAAACTCCTACAAAGGTATCTGCGAAATAAACATATTAGAATTCAATAGTTTCACAACGTTGCACTAGAAACTAAATACTATGCAATATATATAGATGAAAGAGCATTGAAATCGGAGGAGAATTTCTGGGGAGATTCTGTCATAAGTCTGATTCAAAGATTTAACTGAAACTGGTACTTCTAAATATTGTAACTATGTTGTCCTTAGTATGAAAACCTATACTCATAGATTCTAATATAGCATGAGTCCTCTATTAGATTTTCAGTGTATTTCTAAAAAAAACAGAATCCTAAATTCTAATCTTCTTTATCACAGATCAAGCTAATCATAGTTCTAGAAAACCATATCTTCAATCAATTCTAATCTTTCTCAAAACCATGTATGAAATTTTTAGATTCGATTACAACTAACAACAGTAGAACAAGAGAAACATTTAAATGATAAACAAATTACGAATTTATTGGATGAACTAAAACGATATAAAGAAAGTATTGTTCCTGATATGGAAAAAGAATGTCAAATACTCAAATCCGAATTAGAAAACCGAGGTAGATCATTTTCTTCTTCTTAACTAAATGTTTTTTTTTCTCTTATTTTTCTAAGATTCCACTGGTAATAGAGAACTTAATGAACGCGAAATATATTATCAACAACAAATAAAAGAATATCAAGGTAATATTGATCGAGTTACTTATGAAACAGAAAAAATTCGAACTGAATTACGACAACTACAACAAGCAAATGATTTAAAAGAGAAAACAACTAAAACTTTAATTGATGAATTGAAGAAAAATTATGAAACAGTTCAAAATGAATTAATGGAATTAAATGAACAAGGTTAATTTATTTATTTGTTTTTTCTTTACTTCTTTTTTTAATTATGCAATTTTTATCATAGAATATACAGCAAAAATGACTTTAAATCAACGCGAATCATATTATAAACAACAAATAAATGAATATGAAAATAATCTAAATCAAGCAATGCGTCAAACTCAAAAGATTCAAAATGAATTAGTTAAATTAGAAGAAGAAAAATCTTCGCATGATAATAAATCTAATAATACAATTAATTTATTAAAACAAGATTATGAAAAACAATATGAAATCTTACAAAGTCAATTAACAGAATTACAAGATAAAGGTCAAAAAATTATTATTTTTTTCTTTAATTTCTATTTTAGCATCGTTATAGATCATACACATAATATTATCTTAAATGAACGTATAGGTCATTATGAAATACAAATAAAAGAACATCAAATTAAAATAGATCAACATATTCGTGAAATACAAGCTCTTCAAGCTGAATTAATAAATTTACAAGAAGAAAAATCAAATGATGAAGAGCAATTCAATGATACGATTAGTAAATTACAACATGATTATGAAACTCTGAAATTTGAATTACACGAACGAGGTTTAATTATACTTCTTTTTTTTTCCTATCTCTATCATATTTCTATTCTGTAGATCAAACACAAACCATCGTAATGAACGAACGTGATGCTCTTCATCAATCCCAAATAAAAGAACTTGAAACCAAGAGAGATCAATCACTTGTTGAAATACAAAATCTTCAATCTGAATTAATTAAATTACGAGAAGAGAAAAACACCATCGAAAAACAACTGAAAGAAACTATCAATACGTTAAAACAAGATCATGAAAGACAATATAAAGAACTTCAAACTGAAATAGATGAATTAAATGAACGAGGTTAGTAATTAATTTTAGTTATTTCATTGCATTTCTTCTTTGTTTCTTAATGATAGAACGTAAAGCACATAGAACTGTACATCAACATGAAGCAGAATTTGAACAGCAAGTAAAAGATTATCAAACTAAAATAGAAGAAGCCAATATCGAAACTCAACATATTCAAACTCAATTAGCTGAACTTCTAGAAGAAAAATCCAAATCCGATGATACAAATAGTTCATTAAAACAAGACATTGAAAGACTTACAGATGAATTGAAAAATCGAGGTTTGATCATACGATTTGTTTTGTTTATTTTCATTTTGATATCTATCATAGATCACACTCAAAATATGGCATTAAAGGAACATGAAGCTTTTTATGAACTACGAATAAAAGAATATCAAATTAAGAAAGATCAAGATGTTCATGAAATAGATATTCTTCGAGCTGAATTAGCGAATTTACAAGAAGAAAAACTATTTCATGAAAAACAATTAAATGAGATGATTATTAAATTAAAACAAGATTATGAAAATCTTAAACATGAGTTACACGAACAAGGTTTAATTATAATTCTTGTTCTAATGTCTATCTCATATGTACCATATAGATCAAACACAAAACATGGCTACGAATGAACGTGAAGCTCATTATCAAGCTCAGATAAAAGAACTTGAAACCAAGAAACATCAATCACTTGATGAAATACAAAATCTTCAATCTGAATTAATTAAATTAAGAGAAGACAAAAACACTATC